CAAAAGGGCACACATTTTGACGAGTGGAATTTAAACAAGTCAGAAGTTGTGATAGGGCGGCAGTGGGATAGAGGGTAAAGAGTAGATAGATAGGCCAGGACAGAAAGAGGAGTGGTGGTGTAACTGTTCTCGGCAGAACGTTTGTCGAGGGATTGACTTCACTTGTCTCTTTAATTAGTTATTAGCTTAGTGCGGAGAATGGCAGAACGCACTGATGATGCCGACTACGATACCGGCGAAATGTTTGAGAATGCACAAAGTCCACTGTCTGATGCTGGGAATCATGACAACTACTATGGCAGACGACTTCCGACTAGGTGCGTTCTACATAGTCTCCCTGAAAACAAGACCAAGTTGCGGCAACGAGGTCAACCCACTTATATAAATCGAAAGGAGATTGCGACCATACCAGAGGCCACAGCATCTTGGTCTTCATATCTTCAATTACTTTGATTAGGCTCACTGTAGACGTAAATTTTTAATTCCCGATTGTTCCTCTGTTGTCTCCTTGCAATACAGTTTTTGAACCTTTTCTTTTTACGTCGGAAGGTTAATGAAGTGTTGGCTTTTCCACAGTTATCACCTTGATATTTCATTGTCTTAGTAACGGTTGCAATTTTTGACTCAGTTCACAGGACTGACAAATCGACTTTTGGTCGTCCTCCCGATTCTTGAGCTTCTTTTTATAAAATCTAACGCCTCGTGTAGAACGGATATCTTGGCAGTGAAATTATTGAACAAAAGAGATGAGACGGATTCTACGAAACAAGAGGAAGACTGTGATAGGATCTGAAGATAGGGGATTTTGGTCTAAACTGAAGTCTTAGCTTAAAACTTCTTGCAAAGTGGGGGGATAAGGCTACCAGAGGGAAGTGTGAATAGGTAAGTAAATAAGCTCACAAGGGCAAACCTCAACTAGGTCTAGATAAGCAAGTAAAAAATTGTGATAATGAAGGGGCGTAACAAGGATATAGGATAGGTGATGCAAAAGAACAGACCATAATAATTCAGCAGACAATTGGTCTAGACGGACTTCACTTGTCTCTTTGGCGAGTCATAGCGCGGTGCCAAGAGTGGCAAAGCTGACTTACGATGCTGGCGAAACGTCTGGAAAAATACCTTGACCGCAGTCAGACTCTGGAAATGATCATGCACAGTATGGACTCCGAGCAAAGTGCGTTCCTCCAGGTCCTCTTGACAATATTACCAAGTTGCGAAAATAAGGTCAGATAACTTCAATAGGTATGCGATTTGCAAGGCCTCGTTTCCTTTCCACCTAGCCTTGCAATGTGCCTTCATTATATTCCGTGTCACATGTTGAAGCTTATTTTCGACTCGCCCTGGAATTCCACTATGCATTACCATTTAAAGCCAGTCCCGATATCCTAAGAGCCTTCTCTCAAACGCCTAAAGGCTAGCATGCTGGATAATTTATTTTACAGAATTTGGTTTTCATTTTTGGAATCGTATCTTTCGACTTCGCCCTTTTTACATGATCAGTAAAGGGCTCCAGAACTTGGTGTTCATTCACAAAAACTTGGTTTAATCCATTGGATGTACTTACTTCCATTTCGAGATGAATAGATTCGAAAGGTGATTCCACCAGAAAACGGGAAATTGATCTTAACCAGCAGTCGAATGGCTTACTAAAACATTCATATTGACGTTGTTTCCAAGGTAATCACCGTCGATTCAGGTGTAAACGTGCTAAGCTTTCATTCGTCATATGACGAAGATCATCAGAGCAAGGTATAATCCATAAAACCAAGTTCAAGCTAACAAGTCAAGTCAAGAAAGCAATCCGGCACATCCCTAAAGATCTGTATATGTATGATCCGTTTGAAGAAGTATAAAGTGATTTGGTTAGTTCTAGTCACATGTCAACCTGGCATGTGAGTGTCTGTCTTTGTATGTGCCCGTAAGTATTCGCCTATGCACGGAACCAACAGTGATGGGTCAAAGTAATTAGGACAACAAAAGTAACGTCTATTCTCGGCCACCAAGGTTTGGTGACCACTTTCTCCTTCTTTCTACACATATGTTATAACCATAACTCTGATTACACAATGTCGGACACAAGTCTGGCTATGTTTGATAAGCCTTTTTGTCTTTACATGAGGGAGAGTGACTGATTAGAATCAAGACAAGAAAAGGCTAAGGGCTGGTTAACGAAATTAAGTAAATACATTTCATCTTACTGATTTACTGGTAGTCTCGAAACTTTACTCAAATACGAAAAATAAGAAAAGACTAGTCGAGTCGCCTCCTTTTTGCAGGTGGCTCAACACCCTTCCTGTCCTTGAGTCTATCAATTATGCACAAGAAATTTTTACTTATCTTTTTACTGGTATCCCTTACATTTATTTCGATTGCTTCTCTAATTTTAGGTTTATACGTTTTTGTTCTCAGTCAGCCTTTGTGGAATGGGACGATATGTCTTTCCAACATAAGTAACCAGATGAACAAATAATGTTGTAGCAACCCAATCTAGATAATGGGTCAACTTTCTCTATAATCTATTATCAATCTAATTCTATTCAGAATTCATAATTAGCCCAATATTTAAAATTAAAAAACCGTTCTGGATGAAATGACAAGAAATAAGGACAATTCGTTCTTAAAATTTTAATTTCATATACGAGTATTATATAGATTTGGATCATGAGGAACGTGATAAGCCCAATCGGGAATCGAAAAGTACAACTGAAGTACAATGAAAGAATTAGAAATGATTTTAATAAGGCGTAAGTAAGAGATAAATAAATCTGTTTGAATACCAAGATTGTGCAATCAATAAGATCCTGTAGAAGCCAAACGAATGTAGCTACCAACGCAACATATAAATAATAATTTAGTGGACTAAAGAGAAATTGCGCTAGCCAGGAGATTGGGTGGGACCGAAATTGAAGGTTGCTGGAACAGTAGTCTGTGAAAAGTTGTAGCCCCCAGTCTGCTCGATACGCTTGGATTCTGGCAAGTTGGAGGTGAAAGAGAAAAAGGGAAAATTTTCAAGACTTCATATAATTTTTGAAAAGTTACTCTAGACCCAGCCATATGAATTACAATAATTGAGTTATAGCGAACAATTAATCAGAAGCTGCTTTTGCTAGAAATAAAACTTACCCGTGATAGTGACAGAAAAATTATAAAAAATTTTGTAAACATCGATGCAAATTGAAAAAATGTAATAATTTATGATAGCTATCGTTAATATGACTTATCAAAGAAAAAATTGTCCAAATTTAGTAATATTCCAATGTTTCCCTATAAAAACAAGTCAACTTAAATTATTGAAATGTTTAAGGTGATAAAGTACTAGCAGTTGAAATTTATTTATAATTATATGATTAAGCCTTACGTTTCCATTAAATTTCACATAGTCTTGCTTTCCAAAATATATTTTTATCCAGGAATGACTGTAGTTTCCACCTCACCTAGATCTCATCAGCACCCCCAGCAGGACTCGAACCATGGCAGTGCAGTGTATGATCTCGGCACGCTAACCACTATGCCACATTGTCACGAATATACTTGGGTCGTGGGATAAATGTGAACTTCAAGGAAGTCCGGGCATTTTCCCATATCGCATTGTGTGACGGAGATTGTCGATTAAGCAAAGTTGTATTTGCTATAGCAATCGACTACAGCAATGGTTCCCAAACTTTTCCTAGTCGCGGCGCCCTTTTTCAATTAAAATTTTTCCATGGCGGACTACCCTAAGTATGACTATTAGTAAGAGATAAAAATAAATAAAATTTGTGTATCTTCATCATTTTTTACTTTATTAACATTAAATTAATATTTAATAATTAATGCGATGAATGAACCTGCAAATCACTGCACATTTTCTCAAATTGAAGCTTTTACAATATTTAGCAGCGCCCCTATAAAGAGGCCGCGGCTCCCCGGGGCGCCGCAGAGCACAATTTGGGAGTCACTGGACTACAGTATTTATTTTCCGTTTAGAAACATTAAAATCGCTATTCATTAAAAATCAACTTAGATAATGCAGCGGAAATTCGTGGCACATCACTCGTAGGTTCCAAATACTTAATTGAGTCATCCAGGATATGCCCAACAAAAGTATTTACTAACCCATGTAAACTCGCTGGACTAAGTGGAACCTCTATATTGGATGGGATATATAAGGTTGTTTCACTTTGTTCAGAAGTGGTCAAATGAAACAATCTAGCTACATTCAGAGGAAGGAAAGGAATAGAATAATTGAGACATAAAGATCATATGAGACATAGAAGAAGAGAAGGCACAAGAATGAAGATTTTGAGATCAGTTCTTGTTAAGGCTATTACACATGTTTTTCCATATTATCTGGGACAGCAATGTGAATAAGTCTGAGAAACTGCTAGAGATTAAGGGATTATACAGAGCCATTTAGATAACAATGATCTTTAAGTGAAACAGAAAATAGCTAACAGAAAATGGATGGAGAATATGGCTGAGTGGAGGTGCGAATTAGGACCCAGAAGCACAATTAATGGCATCCGAAACAGGAGACTGCGTTTTATTAAAAGCAATTAAAGTGGCGCAGACTTCAGGAACATTGGAATAAGAAGACGGAAAGGTATATATAGATCAATTTATATATCCTTATGTATAGATAAGGATACGGCTCTAGGATCTAAAGGTGCGAATGAGATACCAAGAATAAACGATCGAAGAAATAATTAACAGAGAAATGTACCAAGTCCACGGTCCGACTCTGGAAATTATAATGCACACCATGGACTCCGGACAAAGTGCGTTCCTCTAGGTCTTCCTGCCAATATGACCAAGTTGCGAAAACAAGCTCAAACGATATCTATATAACGAAAGGAGACCAGGACTATACAATAGGCCATTAAAGCCTGGTCTCCATATCTTCGACTAGCAGAGGATTGTCATTATTTGCTTCCGCGATAAATAACTCGTTTAAAATATGAATATCTCTGCCGACGAGGATAACTACGATAATGACTAAATATTTGGGAGTTGCATCCAGCTTACAGTCCGAAGCTAGAGATTTTCAAGGTTACTCTGACAGTATGCAGGACTAAGTACTTATATATAAGGTATCTTTGTCACACCAGCAAAATTGAAATAACGAGCCTAAACCAACACCATAGAAAGATTTCTCAAGAACCAAATAAGCAGTGGTA